TATAGTCTAAACAACAAAGCGGAGGTTGATCTGATTGTATTGGATTTTTCAAAGGCCTTTGACAAAGTCCCTCACCGAAGAGCAGTACGCAAATTACAACACTACAGACTTAACAACAGAGTGGTAGTATGGATCCAAGGCTTCCTGCAGAGTAGAACCCAACAGGTTGTAGTTGACGGTGACGTATCCACAACAGCAGATGTCCTATCAGGGGTACCACATGGACAACAATAGGCCTGATCCTGTTCCTACTTTATATCAACGAAGTTGTTGACAACATAAACAGCACCATCCGTATGTTTGCCGACAACTGTCTCCTGCATCGTGAGATCAACAACCAACACGACCAGGAAATATTACCTGCATGAGTGGTCAGTGAAGTGGCAGATGGCCTTCAACACCAAAAACATGCTCAATACACCGTCCCACCAAGCTGTCACACAACCAGGACTGCACAGTGCCATAAAGCTGTCACACAGCCAGGACTGCACAGTGCCATCAAGCTGTCACTCAGTCAGGACTGCACAGTGCCATCAAGCTGTCACACAGCCAGGACTGCACAGTGCCATCAAGCTGTCACACAGCCAGGACTGCACTGTGCCACCAAGCTGTCACACAGTCAGGACTGCACCGTGCCACCAAGCTGTCACACAGCTAGGACTGCACAGTGCCATCAAGCTGTCACACAGTCAGGACTGCACAGTGCCATCAAGCTGTCACACAACCAGGACTGCACAGTGCCATAAAGCTGTCTCACAGCCAGGACTGCACAGTGCCATCAAGCTGTCACACAGCCAGGACTGCACCGTGCCACCAAGCTGTCACACAGCCAGGACTGCACTGTGCCATCAAGCTGTCACACAGCCAGGACTGCACCTAGCCACCAAGCTGTCACTCAGTCAGGACTGCACCGTGCCATCAAGCTGTCACACAGCCAGGACTGCACCTAGCCACCAAGCTGTCACTCAGTCAGGACTGCACCGTGCCACCAAGCTCTCACACAGCCAGGACTGCACTGTCCCACCAAGCTTGAACACAGCCAGGAATGCACCGTGCCATCAAGCTGTCACACAGCCAGGACTGCACAGTGCCATCAAGCTGTCACACAGCCAGGACTACACCGTGCCACCAAGCTGTCACACAGCCAGGACTGCACTCCAAGCTGTCACACACACCTCAACAGGCTTTTGCAGTGCCATCAAGCTGTCACACAGCCAGGACTACACCGTGCCACCAAGCTGTCACACAGCCAGGACTGCACTGTCCCACCAAGCTGTCACACAGCCAGGACAGCATGTTATGAAAGCAAGTTTAGTCTTCCTAGTTACTTCCCTTCATGCATGCTCATGATCATACGCTAAGGATCCGTCCCACCAAGCAGTTGAGCTAGCCAGGACAGCATGTATGAAGGTGAATAAAATTGTCATATGAAGTAAACGTGTCACAAGCTATCTCGCATGCATTGCAACGAGGCGTCATTGAGGACAAGCGCCACTCAACAGACTTGTAGGTCACACGCTGACTCTATGACACAGATAAGATAGCCCCTTAACCCTTTCTGATCACACCAAGTACAACACATTAGAATTTAAGCTGCCTTACTCAAATTTACAGTATCTGCCTAACTTACGAAGGACTTGTATTGTCATTTGTCAACACATAATAGTTGTATCTAGATCAAAGGGCAAATGACTATAGGTCTCAGTCTCACTAGGGTCAAATTTGATTTGATGATAATTGGTACCAAATGAATTGTTGACAGTTGACCGTTACCCTCCATAACTTCTTTTTTGTAGAACACAAAAAAGACAGATCAACAATAGGTAAGATGAGATAAATTACCTCAACAGGCTTTTGTACACTAGCCGTTATCTCGGGTGATCTAAAAAAAACATTTTTAAGCAGGCAAAATTGTTAGTTTTTATCGACTTAAGAAATTGACAGCAAATTATTAGAAACTATTCCATTTTGTATATATATATGTGAAATCTCATAACAAACAGCTTATTAAGAAATGATTTTCTCTTGTACTCAAAATTTCTTTATCAGCTCTAGAAGATTTTTCTTCTATTTCAGTATATACCTGTTGTTTACAGTAGCATTCTCCAATTGTACTAAGCTGTTTACAATAATTTAATTCAGGGTTAATCTGAGCAACTCTCTCTCTTTACCTTCTCTTTCCTATCCTACCTCATGTCCCCTATTATCTGGGTTTTTTACTCATATACTCAACATATTGCTGCATATTTCATTCTCAAATATTATAGTCATAAAACATGTGGTCCTCAAATCTCATATGTATTTCTTCAACTGGAGATGGATTTACACAAGTTGTAACTTGTTTCAAAATTCAATTTCATCAATTTTGAATTGCTTTTTATTACATTAGACTTACTAATAAATGCGGTTTTTTTTGTATAAGCGATGTGACACAATTGCTCTAACTTAACCCATATCAGCCCACAATACCTGTATGACACCCCTTTTGGAACACTTCTAAAGAAAAATAGACCATATTAAGATAGATCTATCCGTATTTTATTAGTAAGTTTTAATAAACAGAATATTAGCCCTCAGCCTTCGACCCTCGAGCTGATATGGGAGTCGGGGTGCGATATGGAAAAAGGTGTGTATTATTCTCTATATTTTATACTGTAAATAAAAAGAAAGGAAATTAAGTTTATATTAAGAAAAGATTTCAATTGCGCAGCAGGGATATTTCAAGGAGAAATTATCTCTCCTTTGTTGTTTCCCCTTTGCATGTACGTCAATTGCGAAAAAAATGGAGCTATGAATCAAAAATGAAATGGCTACAGAATGAATCCATGGGTCTGAAGACTAATAGAATCTATCACTCCTGTGTGATGTAGACAGAGATATCTCAACCAGAGGGCGAGACATTTTTTTAGGTTAAAGCCTCGTGCTAAACCTAAAACATATCTCATCCCGAGGGTTGAGATATCTCTGTCTACATCACACAGGAGTGATTGATTATTTTCTCCCACATTTTCATACCGTAAAAAATATCTTTGTATTTTTGACCCCAATGCACCGAACAATCATCAATTAAATTCACCAAAAATTCTTCCCTTTTCACTCTTTTTTCCTATGGCAACACATTCGCCTATTTTGAACTATAGGAATGCTGTGCTTGCCACGTTTTGTTTACATGTGTATTATACATGTGTGTAAAGAGTGATGATGTAATCGGTTTTGCTAAAAGTGCACAGGGTCACAGGTCATGTTGAAAGAAGTGTGTCGTCTGTGATGTAACAGCGCGTGTCAGCTGTCTTGATCGAGGTAGATCAAGACAGGTTTATCTTTTCCCTACCAAAAACAGGAATGTACCTCCGAAGTGTGGGAGAAAATGATTTCTGTACTAGCAAATTACACAGACAAGTGGGTTTGAACACATGGACAGCAACATGCTATAAAACTGAAATTGATGTCGTAGAATATTTAAAGTACATGCATAAGGGCTATTTTTGTATATGTGTGAAATTATGTCAAACATATCTAGAACAGCTCATTAAGGACTCCTTTTAATTGCTCGGCGGGGATTTGTCGAGAGGAATTGCATCTCCCTTGTTGTTCCCACCTATATGTCTATGATTGCGAGATGTATCGATCACCATGTATGCAGATAAATGGTATATTGAAAATCCCGAGTCTACAGAAAATTGCTCATTATTTCCAGTGTGAGAATACCTTTAAGGGCCAAGCTGCACTTTCATTGGAAGAAGTATATCAGCAAATTATTTATACCGACAGACCTGTACAGTCTAGATCTGTACATGCTTGCATGAGCTGCAATCCTGGCACTAAATTAATAGCATTCACCAGTGGCTGATAGTTATAGACACACATAACTCCTTTTTTGTGGCAGAATATATATAGCCATGCACAGAATGATAACTGCAGTACAGATCACATGTGTTATCATAGAATTTTAGAGCATTGTTTCTTACTTTTTTATCTGTGCCACAAATATCAACATCCTCATATTGAAATTTACTGTGCATAATCAGAAACGTATACGTATCTCTGGTGTAATTTATATAACTCTGCATCGCAGCTTAGATCACCAACGGAGCCCAGCGTATTATGCTATCTTTTTTAATTAAATAGACCAAAGAACTTTTGTTATCATTTATTTATTTTGTGGGGCTAAGCTTATTCCCAATACCATATGTATACAACTGTTAAGTGTACCCCAGGTATATGATTGACCTCAAGCGATGGGATGGGTCTTATATCATTGGGACATCTTCATTTTGTATGAAAATCTAGACTACATATACACTGTTTTTCTTATCAAACCTTTTTTTTAAAGAAAAGAAGAAGAAGAAACGTGTCGAAAACAATCGTCCTAAAATTAAACTCATTTGTTGAACTTTTAACTTGCATTTGGTAAATTCAAAAGAGTTGCTTCCCTTCAACCAATTGCAATGGCACTATACATATCATATTTAGCCGCGGTAATCCTCCCTAATTATTGGCGGGACAGGCAGTCCCTTCCCCAACATTCGGCTCTTACTGGTATTTGCTATTAGTCCAAAACTGTTGTGAATTCAATCAATCGGTCTCAAACTTTTCCAGTTATCTAGCTGATCACAGTTCAATTCAATGTTGGTAGTTTCGTTTCCAGAAAACAAAAGTTCATTTCTCGGAAAACGGAACCGGACACAAATCCTAGCCTAGATCATTTTTTTACAAGTGCAGTGGCATCTAGGGTTTCCAATAGGCCTACCAATCAAGACGAATGGGGTTAAATATGTTTTTTCAACGGAAATATTTACAGGATTTCGAAGGGTCGAAGAAGGGAGATGGCCTGCTTAATTGACGCAAAGTTGGTGCAGAGTATAACGTCTCTGGTTGGTGTCACTGGAAAGCAGACAACATTTCTTCACATGCCAGAATCCTAACAATAATCCAGCCATTTAACAGTTTAATCCAAAATAAAATGACACTGCCACACATATATACATATACTGACCTACCAGAGTCAGCAGACGATCGCACTCCCTCTCGACGCTCAGCAAAATCAGGAATCGATCCTCCGCGTGAGCATGCGCAATAAACACGTGCCTCCATGGAGCAGCCGCAGCTCATTTTCCGAACCGCTACTGTTTTGACATATAATGTCTCTTTCTAGGGTAAAAGGTCAGGCGCGTAGCTACCATGTAAGCCAATAAGCCCGGGCTTGCACATGATTTTGACAAGTATAGGTTTTCATGACATTATTTTTTCTTGCTGATACTATAAAGTGGAGTTTAAGTTTTGAATATATAGTATACATATGTAATTCCTCAGATATGATACAGTGTTAATAGCTAGTACAAAAATGTATGAAGTTTAGACATGTCCATTGCATTAATGGACAGTTCCAGGCGGAACTAAACTGCTCGATTGAGTAAATTGAGAAACTCACGCCTGGCGCAAACGACTCCGAGTATGGCACAGTGGACACAGACAATCAATGTG